CCCCAAAACCCCAAAACCCCAAAACCCCAAAACCCCTTAATTAAAAATTAAAACTGAAGAAAATTTAGTCTAAAAATGAAGCTTAACAGAAAATTATCAAGCAAGATTCCAACTATCGGTGTCAGAAAAAGATCTGAGCTTGACAAGCAATCTCTGCTCAAAAGAACCAAGTCAAGTCTCAACTTCTGTATGTAGCCTATTTGATGAGATATAGCAATGGCAAATAGGAAGCCGAGGAGATCTCGCAAGCAGAGACAGATGGTTAAGAAACTTGAGGACCCAAAGTTATTACAGAACCATCTTAAGCAAGAAAGTAGGATTTGCTTTCGCTTAAAATACCCCTTGGATGTTTAAAATTTGAATTTGTCTAGAGCTTTCATTAAAGCTTGCATTGATTCTTCTCCCATCATTTCTGAGTCCACTTAGGGTTTACATATTTTCTTCTAGCAATATCACAGGAGAGAGGACTAGGCAAGCAACTTAAGACTCCTAATCGATTGATAAAGGAGAAGCCTAAACAAGACTCTCCTCTTCAGAGCAGTCATCAAGGAGAGCAACAGACGAACGATGCCTTAGAGTCAGATAAGATTATAGAGGAGGAAACTGTAAAGAACATCATGCCAAAAGCTTCTTCTCAGAGTCAGTTCCACACAAACTTGAATTTCATAAAGGAAGTAGCCAGTGGGATCTCTCCAACACCGAAGCACAAATTGGTGCATGATTTTAATTACCGAACCAAACTTGAGAATGGATCTATCGCTAGTGAAAAGAACTTATTTGGGTCCCAATGCACTAATGACCAAGCTGGTAAGTTCTGATTTTAAGCAATCTTCTAATGATGATATAGAGGAACTCTCAAAAATTAACCTATTGGATAGCTTCCAGCATGACCACACTAGTATGAAGTCCTACCTGAACAAACTAGAGTCAGCACATAGCTCTCCGGTAAAATTCTTTGGGTCTCAAAGAAAGATGGGAAGACTAAACAGGTTTAATGACTCTGTTGATTTTCCTTCTTCTGAGAAGGTCTCTTGTAGCCCCATAAGCACAGTGAAAAAGAGGAAGCACAATCTTATGTCAGAGTCTCAATCTGACCTTAAGTTTACCTCTTTGCGCCCTAAACAATCAAAGGGGCTTCAAAAGATATCCAGCAAGTACCTCCAGAATTTACAAAGAAAATTTTAATCCGGGTGGAACTAGAGCTATTAAGAAAGTAATCAATCTGTATGAAGCGTGTAAAGCAAATAACTCCTACTCTTCTGGCATGAATGATCAGTACAAGGTAAGCTTCATTAAAGACTCTGTAGAGCAACTTGAAGTTGCATGTTGGCCAGAACCACACCAAGCCTAAGTACAAGAGTCCTCTGAGGCAGAGTGACCATGTCTATGGAGAGAAAGATATTGACAACAAAATCTACAGGATCGCTGATAAGATTAAGAAACAGTTTAGAAAGTCTAAAAATTAAGTTGATATTAACCCATTTTCTCAAATCATAAATTGGGTGCGATCAAGGAGTTTAAAAATCTGCTTTGGTACATTTCAACATGGCTCAGGCAAAGTTCGTTAGACCTGGATGCTCTTGTTTAGTGGGCGTATATTTCCATGGAAGTTTTTCTACTCTGGGCCACTAATAGGGGTTTTGGGGTTTTGGGGTTTTGGGGTTTTGGGG